CTCAGGAAGACCAACTTCTTCTACCTCCAGATTAACTCCATTTAGATACAGGACCTGATTAACCAGCTCGATCAGGGGAAAGCTATACATGGGAAGAGCACCGCTGATTTCATCTGCCTTCTCTATCCCATCAAACATTCCCACTGAGCCGTGCTTAGCGATGTATTTAACTATCAACTCTGCCATTTTCACAATCTTATTGAATTGTGTTCATCAATTCAATAGGCTTCTTTTCCTTCACTGACTGAACATTATCTAGTTACTTTAAGATAGTTAGTCTAATTATTCACAGCTCCTGTGCTTTGGCCGCAAATGAATTAAACAGCCACACTGCGTTGGGCTTCTAAACCTTTCTACACTAAACTGTTAAAAATGTAACACTGTCACAGTGCGTCGGACAAAACCGCACTACTTCGGGTTTTATGTTATATTTTTAAACCAGTTTACTTAGCCACAGTAGTCAGGCAAATCAACACAAAAACACCATAGTTATGAAATAATTCTGTGACCACACTGCATCGGGTCAATTCAGTTACTTTAGAATTTTATCAGAATTATCACAACTCTGTTTCAGTTACTTTAGAAACAAAAGGTCTAATACAACTTTGCCACCACACTACGTTGGGCTGATTCAATTACTTTAGAATCTTAACAGAATTATGACAGCTTCAACTTCTGCAACTGTTAAAAAAATATATAACAATGTTTGTCACAGTACATCGGACAAAACCACAGTACGTCGGGTCCCTTTTTTTTTATATTTTCTCAAACAGCCTTTTTCTAGCCACAGTTCCTCGGGCTCAAACTAATATTTATCAGATTAAAACAGTGCCACAGTACGTTGGGCAAAAACCACACTGCTTCGAGTTACTGCTTTAGAGTCGCGGTACGTCGGACTCACTATACTATAACACAACTATCATTAAATAATTATGTGATCACACTACGTCGGATCAATTCAGTTACTTTAGAATTCAATCAGAATTATAACATCTTCACAGTCAGTTTCAACGTTAGAAACTTACAACTTCAGACACAACAGATCTAATACAACTCTGCCACCACACTGCGTTGATTCAATTACTTTAGAATCTTACAGAATTATAAGAGACCAACAACAAGTTTCAGTTACTTTAGAAACTTTAAACTTAAGCACTTTGCTTCAGTTACTTTAGAAACAACGATTCCAATACAGCTCTGCCACCACACTACATCGGGTTAATTCAGTAATTTTAAACAGAATTATACGAAATAGGCTTAAGAACTCCTCCTGCTAATACTGAATAAACTTATCTTCTATCCTTAC